TCCATGAAACATTCCTCAATACAATAAAGGCTGTATTTCACAAACCTACAGCCACCATTATACTTAATGGTGAAAAACTAAAGCCATTTCCTTTTAACTCAGGAAGGAGACAAGAATATCCCTTCTCCACTTCTCTTCAATCTAGTATTAGAATGCCTAGCTACAACAATACGACAAGATGAAAACATAAAGGGGATCCAAATAGGGAAAGAAGTAAAACTCTCCCTCTTTGCAGATGACATGATATTGTATGTAAAAAATGCCAAAGTCTGTACTCCAAAATTACTCAAGCTGATTCAAAACATTGTCAAAGTAGCTGGGTATAAAATTAACCCTCAAAAATCCATGGCTTTTCTGTTTGCCAACAATGAGAAAAGTGTGGCTGAAATTAGGAAAGCAATTCCATTCGTAATAGACCCACAAAAAATAAAATACCTAGGAATTAACTTAACCAAAGAAGTGAAGGACCTCAATGATGAAAACTTTAAAAGTTTGAAAAAGGAAATCAAAACAGAACTTAGAAGTGCAAAAACTCCCATGCTCCTGGATTGGAAAGATCAACATCTTGAAAATGGCAATACTTCCCAAGGCTATCTACAAATTCAATGCGAAACCTATCAATATTCCAACCTCATTCTTCAAAGAAATAGAAGAGGCAATCCAAAAAGTCATATGGAACAATAAAAGACCCCAAATAGATAAAACTATCCTCAACAGAAAGAACAGTGCTGGAGGAATATCAATACCAAATTTCAAACACTACTATAAAGCCATAGTAATCAAAACAGCTTGTTACTGGCACAAGAACAGACCTCAGGACCAATGAAATAAAATTGAAACTCAGAAATGAACCTACAGTCCTATAGCCCTCTAATCTTCAATATGGGAGCTAAAAAAAAATAGAATGGAAGAAAGACAGCCTCTTCAGTTAATGGTGTTGGTTTGGTTAACTACTTGTAGAAAACTAAAGCTAGCTCGTTATATATTACCCTGCACCAAAATCAACTCCAATAGAGCGAAGACCTCGGAGTCAAAGCAGACACTCTGAAAACATTACAGGATCGAATAAGAAAAACCCTTTTTCTCCTTCGCTCAGGCTGAAATTTTCTAAATATAGACCCAGAAACACAACAAATTAAAGAAAGGTTGTACAAATGGGATTGCATGAAATTGCAGAGCTTCTGTATGACAAAGGACATCGCTAGCAATATCAATAGAAAGCCCATGGATTGGGGGAAGATCTTCACTAGCCATACAACGGACAGGGGTCTCATATTTAAAACATACCTGGAACTGAAAACATTAAATCCCCCAACCACAAATCTTCAAAGAAACAACTGACCAATAAATAAGTGGGCTAAAGACTTAAACAGAAACTTCTCTGAAGAGGAATGAAAGATGGCCAATACATACTTTAAGAAATGCTCAACCTCCCTAGCCATAAAAGAAATGCAAATCAAAACAATACTGAGATATCACCTCGTCCCAGGTAGAATGGCTATAATCAAGAACTCTAATAACAACACATGCTGGAGGAGATGTGAACAGAAGGGAACCCTACTGCATTGTTGGTGGGAGTGTAAACTTGTTCAACCTCTTTGGAAAGGAGTATGGAGGTTCCTCAAAAGACTCCAAATAGAGTTCCCCTATGACCCAGCAATCCCACTTTTGGGCATTTACACAAATATTCACAAACAAATCACACTAAAGGTACCAGCAGGATATGTTTATTGCAGAATTATTTACCATAGTTAAGATATGGAACCAAACCTGATGCCCCTCAGGAGATTAACGGATCAAGAAAATGTGGTATATATATATATATATATATATATATATATATATATATATATATATATATATATATATATATATATACAATGGAATTCTATGCGTCCATCATAAAGAATGGCATTGCCCCATTTGTGAGGAAATGGAAAGACTTGGAAAAAATTATATTAAGTGAAGTAAACCAGGCCCAAAGAAACATAGGTCCCATGGTTTTCCTTTTTTCCAATAAATAGTATATGTCTGAATCAAGCAGAATAGCTCAGATATATTGATGTTAGGGAAATGTACCCTAAGATATGTACTCAAATGCTGTTTTCTTTCATGCGATTTTTTCTAACACATTTATAAGATGATATCTTTGTTGCTTTGTATGTCCCTCCCCCATGGTATAACCCCTACTTTCACTGTATTTGATGTTGTTATAATTTGTGGAGGGTAAGGGCAAAAACAAATCGTTTAAATAGGGATACAGGTGGACCCATTGCAACAATGAGATGTACAAGTCGTTATGTCGAAAACGAACTTTCCAACTTTGGTGTGGGGTGATTGTAGGCTTGGGTAGAGGGATGGGGGAGGATGGGATAGAAAGGGGAAACAAAGGAGCAGGCTACAATGCTTGATAAGAAATGTACTCATCTTGCTCATGTAATTGTAACCCTCTTGTACAATATTTTCACAATAAAAACAAATAATAATCTAGAAAAAAAAAAAGAAAAGAAGCTAGGCTTAACACCTTTATAACTTTTAAAAACATCCTAATTGTAGAACATCATTGAAAGCAAGTTCCATTATACAAATAAACTTTTTAACCCTCCTTTGAAGGCCTTTTTAATTGTAATTTTAACACATACAAGGGGCAGTTTTAGCAATAATAATCAGATCATCACATCACTCATTTTAACCATCATGTTTTCAGTGTCTATCTGCAGGGAAAAAAGACCGAACAAAGATGGGCCACTCAGCCCCTCCTATGGAATGGGCACACACCCAATCTGACTCTTTAAGGTTAGATGAACTGCGTTTATGCCAGTTTGCCCTCCTTTACCATGTGTGGACTCCTCCCAGGGCCAGTTCCACCATCTATGAAGCCCCCCCCAGGGTCGGTCCCACCATGCATGACTCGCTTAACTGCACTTCTGCCTGCTCATCCTCACCCCTAAATATAGATCTTAGGTGGTCTTCTAAGTTTTCCCATTTTTGGTGGGGAGGTTTGAATAAAATACTGCTTTAGATAGACAGAACGGGTCATGTTTTGTAACAGTGCTAAATTGACCTTTACATTTAAATTTTTAATATTTATCCTGAAATTTTAGCCAAGGGAACTAAATCCCAAACTGCCAAAACATTTTAAAATATTAAATTTTAAAATAACAGATTTTCTAATTTCTACATTAAAGAATCCTTAAAAGCCATTTAAAACAATGTGAAAGATTTTTTAATTTTTAGTAATGTCTAAATCCCTTAACCTTTTACATTTTAAACTTAAACTCACCCAATTTTTACAGCATGTTGACAATTTTTATCTTGAACATGTTTACAAACACATGGAAAACACACACATCTTAAAGCGTGCAAAAATCAAAATCAGTTGTACATAGATTTTTTTTAAGTTTTTTAACAAAAATTTAATACAGTATTTTTTTTAACTAAGTACCTTTGTTAAGCTTCATTTTCCCAGGCTTGCTTGTTTAGCAAGGCAATTCACCAACGGATCTTTTGAATACCTTCTATTGCAGAAGGGCTGGTTGACGGGGTCACCTGAAACTAAACTGGCCTGAATTTTATCCAATATTAGACAAGAACACTTTACAAATTGTTACATTGTCAGGACTCGCTGAAAAGTCCAAACCAGGTGCTTAGCCTTCCACACCCTCCGCTCAGGCAGCCTCCACAAGGAGAAAATGCATCCCAAGGCCTGAAAGGTACCAGCCTAGTCCAGTAACCTTTCACACCTCACAGTGAGGGGAGCATAACAGGTCTGTGGCTGAGCCCAGCCAGAGGCTGGAACTTTTATTTCCCCAGAGTTGTTCAAATAAATAACAAAAATATAAATAAACACAAAAACCAAGAATCCACACTTAAAACAGGTACCAATTCTAAAACAGAACTAGACAACAAAGGCTGAGTTGGGGACTAATGGACCCTCAGTTCAACCCTACCAGAACTGCTCCATTCTCACTCAGCAAAGCTGAAATCAGAGTCTGCTGAGTGAGCTGGCCACCCTCACCCAGAATTTCCCCACCTCAAAAATAGAACAGAAACGACACCAAAGTAAACAAGACAGACAAGTGGCCACAAAGACAAAATCAGATCTCCTTGAATTTGGCAACATCTCACCACCAGAGAATTTCTTTCTTTCTTTTTTTTTTTTTTTTTAGATAACTGCAAATGTTGACCCAGGGGCCTTCCAAGGTGGAGGAGAACTCCCAATCATCTTGGGGCAAGGGAAAAATGACCCTGGAAGCTATCCCCTCAGAATGACAGTCTCCCCCCTATACTCAGAACCTCTGGGCCAAGTCCCGAGGCTAAGATCTTGCTGGAGGCACTTGGTGGTCAGTGGCAGATTCATCTGGCTTAGAGTTTTCCCTGCAGGCCCCTTTCAAAGTTATTGCTAGATCCTGCAGGTTCTCCCTTCCCCCACTGCCTCCTCTTCTAGAGAATAAGTCAACCCTTGATGTCATCCTAAAATTCCAAAAGTATTAAAATGGGAGAGCGCCTGAGGTGAAAGGAGCCTCTGGCCCCCACTTTTGTGGGGGCTCCAGGATGCTCACTGATCTGAAAATGAAATAAAATGAATCAGGAAAGGAAAGAAAGAGAGGCGCTGAATTAAAATGACAATGGCAACTACAAATGAGACAAAGAGAGCATGCATGTTGATCTCAAGCTCGAATCCACCCCTAAACCACGGTGGTGGAGGCCAGACGAGTTCCTGTCCCAAAGGATGGCAGAGGCCGGTGAGTCAATACCCAGGAGGTGGATAATCTACCCTTAACCCAGAGTGGCAGAGGCCGGACAAGTCATGGTCCAAAAGACGACAGAGTCCAGAGAGACCCCACTGGGCAGGGCTTCCCCAAGGGCCCAGGAAATGTCTTCCACCGGCCTGCTGGTTACCTTGTAGCACATCCGCCAACATTTCTTGCCAGCTCCAAAACCCTACTTACAAGTCAAACACAAAACACTCAACATAAAGCAGCTGCACCCCCTCTTACCGGCTAGCTGGACGACTCGCTGATCAGGTATTTGAGTGGCTTATGGGGGGGCTATCCCAGAGGAGCTCCCACATAAAGTGCCTAGTTTTTGGACGCCCCCTCTCAGAACACCAGAGACCATGATCAATGCAAACAGCAAAGAGTCGTTTATTGCAAGCTGGAGTTTGGTCCTCTGTGCACTAGGTAACCGGTGATGCTAAGAGGCCCCAAGCATAAAATTGGCACAGCTTTTATATTATCTAACAAACAAGTTTAGGGGGTTTCCACACAAGCAAGTTCACAAGTTCAGGGGGTTTAAGTCGACCCTGATCGCACTTCCCTTTTTCAGCTGGAACACCTGGGCAACTGTTCTGTTTTTTAAGGGTGGGTAGGGTTGGTGGCAACCTGCGGTTTTTCTGAGAACTATTTTTCTCTTTGGCAGCACAGCTCTCTTTGGGGGTTACTTTGAGGGCAGCACAGCTCAGGGGGCTTGATCTTAAAATGGAATTACTTTAGTTCTTCAGTTAGGTCCTGAGTTCAAGCACCAGGAATGGTGTATGCACACACACACACACACACACACACACACACACACACACACACACACACACCTCACATGGAGGCACCTTTGCCAAAAATGTATCATTCCATTATGTTCAGCTCCCCAATTGTCTGCCAGAAGGACTCTTGAATTAATTGTAGCAGTTTGTTTCAGTTACAAAGACAGCATGAGTGCAGGGAACTTGGCCTGCCACAAAAGGTGGCACAAATAAAGGCTTCCTGTCAAAACAGACCACTGGGGAGAGAGATAGCTTGGGGTACAAACAAGCCTTTTTCTCCTGACTTTCAGAACCTGCGCACGTTCATCCTCATTAATTGGCCTGGATGAATTGTTTGTTATGCAGCTTTACAGGAGTGAAGCTTTTTGTCTGCCTGTTCCAACATCAAAATCGACTTCCTCTGGCAGCCTGGGGTATGGAGACTCAGCAGGCTACACTGGGAACAATGAGGGAGCCCCGGAACATGGATTGTCTTGAAAGCACTCTCTGTGCTATGAAATCATTCTATTCAAAGCAAATTTCCTAGCTGGGTGCCTTTCTTCATAGCAACTCTGGATCTTCACTGATACAAATACATGCATACATACACAGACACATGGAGTTGCTGGCTCTTTTTTTTTTGTGGCAGGTACTGAGGCTTGAACTGTGAGCCTAGACATTTTCCCTGAGCTCCCTTTGCTCAAGGAAACATTTTAGTGTGTATTAAACCATGATTACCCTAGGCTGGGGTACAGCTTGTACACCCACAGATGATCCAGGGATCCTAGGACCAGAATTCAACTCCCAGCACTGGCAAAAATACATTAAACCAACAAAAATGGAGGAGGAAAAACCAGAAAATGTTACACAACAGTTTTTACCTTTGTTTCCTTAGCACTGTGACCCTCCTGAGCCTCAATGACTTGGCTTGAAAATTGTATGTGACCTTGCATGGATGATGGCTGGGGGGCTGTCAGTGAAGCTTGAGGCAAACCCAGACACCTAGGCCCTGAGATCAATCGTAGGACTGCCACCTACACACAGCTGAAGATCCTAGGAAACTCGTGCCTATCTATAGGAACACTAATAGAATATTTGACATATACTAATTGAATTACTAACTAGCTAGTCATTCTAATATAAGATTGTATGCAATAAATATAGGTCATTGATTAATTAGTACTTTATTAATTCTTCTACCATGATAATTGGAAGCATAATTTCATACCAAATAATTGGTAGTAATAGAATATATAAAAATAAGTTGCAGACATCACTCTTTATATTGGGTTATACACTAGAATCTACATAAATGTCTATCTGTGTCTCTCTGTATATATTTATAGATGCATATACATATGTAAATACATACACACATGCACACACACACACACACACAAACAAACACACACACACTGCAATCTAAACATCTACCTGTTTATATATTGGTCATTCCTGTGGCTTGATCTGAGGTCCTCAAATTGGCCTGCCAACTTCATTTGCATCAGACTAGTGTGCTAACATGTAACCATTCATGAAGTGGGCCTGCTAGGCCCTGAGTTCAAGTCAGAGAATTGCCAAAAACTTAATCCTGTTGGAAAAGCCAATTGTTCCACTTGTTTTCCGTATCTGTGAAAGTCCTGGGTCTCAGGAATGATGTAGAATACATAGGAAAACCTATGTCTTATGTAATAGGATGCAAAATGTTATATGTGTAATCATACTCACTCTCAAATACATAAGAAATAAAACACAAAATAAAATGAATACACTAACTGCAATATGCAATAAACATGTGTATGTAAATATAAACCATGTATTTCAAATATATACGAATATTATATATATATTATTTTTTCAAGTGCTAGGATTTGAATTCAGGCCCTGGGAACAGGCCTGACTTTCTTGTCTTCCAGCACGGTGATCTTCCCATCCCCCACAGTGCTACAGATTTACTCACACCCTGAGTTCAAATCCCAGGCCTGACAAAAACAATGGCCTGAATTCCAAGCCAAGGAGCCACATAATATTTTAAATATTTTTAATGTATATATGTATGTATGTATGTATGTATGTATGTATGTATTTTTATTTTTCAAGCACAGGGCTTGATCTCAGGTAGTGGGAATTCTGTCTCAGCATTGATCACTCTATGCTGGGGTGCAGCCACTGGACTCACAGACAAACCTGGGTTCCTGGGCCTCAAATGCTGAGATGAAAACAATAATAAATAATGCGACACAGAAAAATAAAAACTGGCAACTTCCTAGTTTTACATTTGTTTTCTTTGCAAAGTGACCATCCTGGGTCTGAATGACACAGCTGCAAAATGTTGGTAACCTGCCGTTTCTGAAGGCTGGTGGGCTACCAGGGAAGCCTTAGGCCAACATTGCAACATAGGCCATGTGTTTGAAGCACAGTCCTGACCCCTACCAATGGAGAGAGATCCTAAGAGTCTTGTTCCTATTCATAGGATTAGCGATGGAAGATTATGAATGGCAAAGTTGAATTAGTTGTTTCTGAATACTACTATACAATTAGATGGAGGGATTTTAGGAGACCAATGGATTTTAATGAATATTTTTGATACATTCAAAGAATACTATTAATTACATGGATGCAATAGTTTTGGGACAGTGGTTGATTTTTTAATAATTCATTAAGGATGAAAACAAGAATATTAATTACATGGACGCATAATAAATACCCAAGAATTGATAGGAATGCAGTGCATATACCTGAATAATGTATAGACATCACTGGCACTCTATAAAGATCTATATTTATTTGTGTACTGCCATCTGCATGTCAATCTGTTCTTATTTTGTCAACCCCTGGGCTCTATCTCAGGTGCTAGAAATACTTGTCAGCTCAATATGTCCCAAGCTGGTGTGCTGACACTCACCCATTCATGAATTGGGACTTATAGGGTGTGAGTTCTAATGCCAGCACTCACAAAAATTGAATCGTGGAGTAAGAATCCCACGGTGACACATGTTTTCTGATTCTTTGAAAGTCCTGAGTGTAAGGTATGAAGTTTCATACACAGGCAAATCTATATCTTATGTAATATATGTAGTAAATATTTCATGTTTAATAATAATCAATAAAATAAATGGTAAATAAATTAATAAAACAAAAAATAAAATGAATAATTACACTAAGTGAAATATGTGTTCAACATATGGGGCTCGATATCAGGGCCTGGGAACAGCCTGGCAGCTGAATAGGCTAGAGGCTTCTGTGCTGACAGTCAGCCATTCATGAATTGAGCCTTCTAGGCCCTGAATTTAGATCCCAGTAGTGCCAAAAATGTAATCGAGGAGGAAGAAGCCGAGCGTGACACATGTTTTCTTTTTCTTTGAAAGTGCTCAGTGACAGGATGTATAATTCAGATGCAAATATATATGCTATGTAATAGGATGTCATAAATGTAAAAAATGTCATTGGTGGAAGAATTGTCACTACAATAAATGAAAAACAGATTGAATTAGTAGTGAATCATTCTAGGATAAAATTAGACACACTAGTTATAGGAGGTGGATTAAGTTTAATATTTTATTAAGCATTAATAGAATAAAAATTGCATGGAAACATAAATGCCTAATAATTGGTAGTAACACATGATGTATAATTTAATTATATAGACATCTGTCACATTCTATAAAATATGTAATTTATATACAGATGTATGTACATATAATTTTAATTAATGCTTTATTAATTGTTGAGACACATGATTAAATGGAGACATAACTTAATACCTAAAAATTGGTAGTAATATTATCTATAAATTAATAATGTACAGACATCTTTTGTGTATATAAAATCATATACAGCAACCTCTATCTATTTATAACTCTTTCACTCCTGGGGCTCTTTGGTTGAGTGCTTGACTAGTAAACACGAAGCCCTGGGTTCGAGCCCTCAGTGCCACATAAAAAGAAAACCTAGAAGTTCAGCTGTCTTTCAATCAACTGAGTGCTAGCCTTGAGCACAAAAGCTTAGGGACAGTGTCAAAGCCCTTACTCAAGTCGCCGGACTGTCAAAAAAAAAGGTAGAATATACTCACTGCAACTATAGAAGTACAGGACATCAAATACCTCATCACAGAGAAAGCTAGGAGTCTGGTGCTGACAGCTGTCACCTAACCTGACTTAGCCAGATGTAAACTGCTGTATCCCAGCTCCATGGGTTACCCCCATCATCCTGGCTTACCCTGGCTTACCCCCGACATCTTGGCTGCTTGAGGGCTTTAAATACTGGCAGGAAGTTTGCTAGAATCTTTGAAATATGGCTTGAAATGGTAGAGCACTAGCCTTGAGCAAATGTTAGTAGAAAAGTATCCCCATGTTTTGAGCTCAAGCCCCATAAGTAACCTCCCCCAAAATAAAAACACCCCACTAAACTATTAGTTATGAAATGTTCCTCAAAGAATGTGAAACCACCTTAATTCGAATGATAGCTTGTGGAACAGAGCTTTGTGCTGAGTCTTTCATAGGGTGATCTGTGCTGAGTCCTGCACAAGATGGAGTGTGCTGAGTCCTTCATTGGGTGCTGGGTGCTGAGACTTTCACAGGATGTTGTGTACTGAGTCATGCAAGAGTGCCATGTGCTGTGTCTTTCACAGGGTGCATTCTTTCAACTTGTTCTTGTAAGAGCTCCA